AAGCAAATAATAGCCATTAACCCAGATAAGCTTAAAGAAGAATCCACTAGTAATAAAATACGGGAAGAAATACATAGACACTTGAGTAACAGAACAGTACAATCGACACAAACTCCCGAGTATCCCGAGGAAGACTGGCACTATATTGAGAAAACACTTACAAGAGTAACAGAAGACTACCTCAAACAAGATACACGAAAAAAGAACAAACCATGGATGACAGAAGAAATTCAAAACATGGTGGACGAAAGAAGAAAATACAGAGGTAAAAATGAAACAACATACAAGCAAATATACAAGAATATCAGAATAAAAACAAGCCAAAGAAACCTGACTAAGTGAAAGATACCAAGAAATTGAAGAGTTGGAACAAAGACATGATACTTTCAATCTACATAAAAAAGTAAAAGAAGCCGCTGGAATATTTAAACAAACTCCTACGTCTTTTATCGAAGATAAACATGGGAACCCGCTACTGAACATAGGAGACCAAATAGGTAGATGGAGAAAATACGTGAAAGAGATGTTTCAAGACCGAGAGAGGACGAACATTTACATGCAGGAGGCATCGACTGGACCTTATATCCCAAAGCAAGAAATCATCAAAGCGGCAAATCAGATAAAGAACGGAAAAGCTGTTGGGGAAGATAATATCCCAATTGAAATAATAAAGATATTACTAGACGAACACATCGAAGTAATGGAAGATATATTTAACAAAATATACGAAACAGGCATAATACCAAATGATTGGCTGACATCGGTGTTTATACTACTACCAAAGAAGAAAAACTCCAAGAAATGTGAAGACCATAGGATTATTAGCCTGATGAATCATATATTGAAACTTTTCCTACGAGTAATACACAATAGAGTATACAATAAACTAGACGAACACACTGGTCAAACTCAGTTTGGTTTTAAGAATGGGTTCGGACCAAGAGAAGCACTTTTTTCAATACGTGTGCTAGTTGAAAGATGTAGAGATGTCGATTCTGATGTATACTTGTGTTTTATAGACTTTCAGAAGGCGTTTGACCTGGTGAAACATTATAAACTAATAGATATTTTAAGGTCATGTAATATCGACGATAAAGACCCAAGGATCATTTCAAATCTCTACCAAGAACAAAAGGCTAAAATCAGAATAAAACACGAAACGCGAAACATCTGGAAAAATCAATATCGAGAAGGGAGTAAGACAGGGATGTGTCCTATCATCTTTGCTGTTCAATGTTTACTCTGAGAAGATATTTTCGAAAGCTTTGGAAGGCACCTCGGATGGTATAATTATAAACGGGCAATGTATAAATAACCTGCGATATGCTGATGACACTGTCATACTGGCAAATAATGCTGAAGCCCTGCAACGCTTAATGGACCGAGTAACTACAGCCTGTAGAGAATTTGGAATGAAATTGAATACAAAGAAGACAAAAACGACGGTAATCAGCAAGCACCAAAACAGAAGGGTGAAGGTCAATGTCGACGGAACAGATCTGGATAGAGTATCAAGAACAACGTACCTTGGAAGTAATCTTGATGAAACTTGGGACCACTCACTAGAGATAAGAATACGCCTGGAAAAGGCACGTACAATGTTTTACAAAATGCAAAAAGTTCTATGCAACCGCCAGCTGGGCATCTCATTGAGAACTAGAATACTTAAGTGCTATGTTTTCTCCACCTTGCTCTATGGTATTGAAGCCTGGACAATGACAGAAGCAACACAAAAAAGAATCCAAGCATTCGAACTCTGGTGTTACCGTAAAATGCTCAGAATATCCTACATGAGCCATACGACAAATGCGAAAGTCTTGCGGAGGATGAATAAGGAAAGAGAGCTTATGCTTATAATAAAAGAACGGAAAACACAATATTTTGGTCACATCATAAGAAATCAAAAGTATGAACTGCTCAAACTTATAATCGAAGGCAAAGTCAATAGCAAAAGAGGACCAGGAAGAAGATGCAACTCTTGGCTTAAAAACCTACGGCAATGGACGAACATGACCTCCATAGAACTATTCAGGGCTGCTACAAATAAGATTAAATGGGCAAATGTAATGGCCAACGTACTTAAGGATAAGGTACCGTAAGACGAAGATTGGTTAAGTGCTATCATTTGAGATATCGTACGTCACTATTGGCCTAATAGGACCAAAGGTACATAACTAAGGCCCTTTTGACATGCAACTCCATTACCTCATTGTATCTCATTGTATTTTATTTGTTAAATCCTTTCATTTGAGGTACTGCACGTCATGATTGGACTAACAGAACCGAAAATACACAACTAAGGCCCTTTTGACATTGTGCTGTATTTGATTTTTCTATCCCATTGTATTCTTTACGTTAAATCTTATCATTAGAGGTACTATACGTCACGATTGGACTAATAGGATCAAAAATACGTGACTACGGCCCTTTTGACATGTTGCTGTATTTGATTTTTCTATTTCATTGTTTTCGATTGGTTAAATCTTATCATTTGAGATACTGTACGTCATGATTGGACTTATAGAAACGAAGATATATAACTAAGGCCTTTTTGACATGCTGCTTTTCTGTCTTATTGTATTTTATTGGTTAAATCCTATCATTTGAGGTGGTGTACATCACGACTGGACCAATTGGAGCAAAAATATGCAATATATATCCCGTTATATATACCCAATATGTAACCCGTTACTTTTAATCAAACAAGATGCTAGAATGATTTGTGGATGAAAAAAATATATATAAATTCTTAAATTTACTATTTCGTTGTGGGTAATATTATATTTAACAGCGATACCAAATTTCTGATGCTAAAATGATTGATAATGAAAGTGCGATATACATTTTCATGTATATAATGGCAGCGAGTAAACGGTAAAACCCTGAACTAAATATATATAATATTTTCACTGTACCATCATTTTAGACTCAAACATTTCCTGGAATAAACTTATATAACTCAGTAAGGGATAAAAAGAGAAAGCGGACATTTTAAAATACCAACACGGTATCAAATCTCTAATCATTGAGATGGTTAAAATTCTTGTAACAAGTACAGACAAAAAGTTATTAAGGTCTTGTAAAGTAGCGTCGATATACAGATGCTACTTTGCAAGACGATGCTAAATTGATGGTAAAAGCATAATGTATCGATGCCAAAATGATAGTAGGATATATATATATATATATATATATATATATATATATATATATATATATATATATATTTATATATATATTTAACGTGATTATTTCGACCAAAAAAACAATTTATCAGTATGTTGGAAATATCGGGTATGTGATCTATATTAAATAAAAATCTTTGTTTTTTCTAAAACTCAATATTTCGCTATTTATTTAACAGCTTCATCAGGAGTAACTGTAAAAACAAACATTTCAAAAAACTGACGTACACTTAGATTTACAATACTTACAGAACTTAAAAGATTCTGTGCCAGAATACCGTATGTGCCGTATTCTGGCACAGACTGACAATTACAAAAGTAGGTTATTTTTGGAGATGTACCACATCAACAAAAATAAACAAACTTTAAATTATAAAACAGACACGGGGCAATTAAGCAACATATATTGCAATATATTGAACAAAATTTAAAACTCACTCACCTTAATGATTAATCATACTAACTAGCCTTAATGATTAATTAAAGAAATAATATTCCTCTAATGTTTTCTTACATTGTTAGTTATTGCATTTTAAATATTTTTTAGTTGTTTCCATCTCATTTACTTACTGTTAACGAACGTGCTCATATATATTTACATTTTAACAAGCTTATACATTATCAAAAATGTTTATTTTAATATCAAATTTATTTATGTGCGAAATCTTTTAAGTTCTGTAAGTATTGTAAATCTAAGTGTACGTAAGTTTTTTTGAAATGTTTGTTTTTTACAGTTACTCCTGATGCAGCTGTTAAATAAATAGCGAAATATTGAGTTTTTTGAAAAACAAAGATTTTTATTTAATATAGACCACATACCCGATATTTCCAACATACTGATAAATATATACATATATATATATAATATATATATATATATATAAATATATATATATATATATATATATATATATATATAAATATATATATATATATATATATATATATATATATATATAATAGTTCATAACTTGTACATTGAACTCAATATGTAGTATATTTTCGATATATGATATGTATTGTACAATTTATTTAATATCTAAAACTAACTTAACAAAAAACACACAAACTCTACAGTTAATCCTGTTCATATACAAAGATACGTTCGAATTTCTTAATAAAATTTTAAGACAGTATTTCTATGATACTAAGAAATGTTTTTAGGTAAAAAAAAATCGATTTTTTGAAAATTTAGAAAGTAAAAATCCACTTAATATACCCAACACTGACATACGGATGAGTCTTGAACTCAAGACAGGTTGAAAAAAGAAAGAAAGGTAGACGCGACTGAAATGATCTGTTGGAGAGGAATGTTACGAATTCCGCTTACAAATAATCCAATTTTAAATAAACTAAAATGAACTAAATATCAGCAAACGGCTCTCTAGCAAAGCCTATCTCCAACAATAAAAATACAGTATACACACATATATATATATATATTATATATATATATATATATATATATATATATATATATACTGTATTTTATTATAGTGAGAAATGATTTGGAGCGTTTGCCCGCGTTTCGATTTTCACGCTTTTTCGAGTTTTTACCATTCTGCTCTAGGTTTACACTTCTAAAGTTATAGTTTTTTATATATAGCATTAGTTATAATATAACCCATAAATGCATACCATATAAGGACAGCAACGAAGTAGTACCACGCGGGGTGGAGTTTACGTATTACGAAATTACTACTCTATTTAATTAAAAACACTGTCTGGCCCGCTCAATTCTGTATTTTTTAGCACTATTTTAGTGTTATTTAAACAACAAATTATCCTCTCGATTATATTATGAAATTACCATACCTTCTCTATTAGTAATTTGTTGTCTTAAGGCATTTGATGTCACTTTCATCATCTGTTGTATCCTATGAAATAATACAACATCTGAACAATCCACATCATTCGCTTGTTGATGGTAGAGATAGAAAGCTTTTCTACAGTCATAAGCTTTTGTTAAAGATGCATTTAGGAAATGACGTCGATATACAGCATTCCAAACTTCCCTTATAAATTCATTATCGACTTCAATACTAGAACGTTGAAGATTGTTTCTTATTGTAGTTAATTCATCGTAACTTAATCCTGGAGGATGTTTCTAAAAAAAAGGGATACTATTGAAATTATAGTGTAAATACAATTTATAAAATGTTGACAAATGTTTTACGATTATTTTATTAACTGTATTTTGAAAACGATTTCCGATAACGAAATGTCAAATATCACATATTTTCAATGATAATTAAACGTATTCTCATGAAATATAGTAAATATTTTAATCATAAAAGAAAACGGGTTCTGGTACTCCGGAAGTGACCGTCAATAAATGCTCCGAACACGAATATTACTCAATTCTTAACGAACATTCTTTCACAAGCATACAATTATAACAATGACTTCAACATAACAGATTTTTTCCAATTCAGTGAATTTATTAATAATTATCAGCTACCCACAGGCTTTGTCTTAATAAGTTTTGACGTAGTATCCTTGTTCACAAATCTTCCACTTTCCAGTGTATTAACTTCTCTCCGTAACCATTGGAATCAAATCCAACCCCACAGTCCGATATCTTGCGAAACTTTTAAAATTCTCCGAAAACTCCGAAAAACTCTGAATTATTAAAATTTATTTTTGACACCAATTATTTAATTTTCAATGACAAATATTATCGCCAAATTTTTGGAACTCCTATGGGATCCACGATTTCTCCTATTCTAGTCAACTTTGTACTAGATGATCTTATTAATGAGAGTATCAAGAAATTAGATTTCCAGGTTCCCTTTGTAAAACGGTATATCGACGATCTGATTTTAGCAACCCCGGCGGATAAGGTGGTGGACACCTTATCAGTTTTTAACTGCTTTGATTTTCACCTACAATTTACATGTGAATTTGAGGTTGATAACAGTATCCCGTTTTTAGATATGCGAATTATTCGCACACCGGATAACAGATTAGTCACTACCTGGTCCAGAAAAGAAATGGCTAGCAACCGTTTCTTAAATTATCATTAGACACACCCAATCAGCTTAAACTGATACAAGCCCTCAGCCTTAGAGTACACATGTTGACACACCCGCTTTACAAAGAAGAATCTCTCAATCTACTGAAGTCCATTCTCATAGATAACTCTTATCCGGCATCCATCATCAATAAATTTCTATATTCCAAAAGCTATAGACACCTAACTCTACTGAAACATCTAACGGGCTAACATTAGCGTACATATCTAACAAAATACAGATGAATAAGTCCTCTCACTCCTGAACAAACCACAAAATATGCTTCGCTCCCGTACTTTCCACAAATCACTAACAAACTTAACAAACTTTTCAAAAACTTACCTGTCAAAATTGCCTTAAAAAATACCAGAACCTTAGGAAAGTTATTTTCTAATACAAAAACTCCATTGACCCCTCGAAAACAAACTAATGTCGTCTATCATGTACCCTGTGCAGAGTGCAACTCCTGTTACATTGGCCAGACCAGCCGCTCTCTTCAAGGTCGACTAACGTCCCACAAAAGCGACATTAGGATTTTCAAACCATCTTGTGCCTTGCACAACATGCCATTTCAACCAAATACAGTATCGACTTCACGAATACCAAAATACTATGCAAACAAAAAAATTATCATAAACGGTCCATCCTTGAAATTGTAACGAATATATTTTGCTTACCCCAGAGTAAGGATATTGGGTAGAAGATTGGGCAAACAAAATAAATCGAAACAAGTGCGTAAAGCACTCAGTGGGTTGTTGGATAGCTAGGTAGTGGATAAGTTCAAGATATGGGGGTTGGATTGGGGCAACTACAAAAAAAGAAATAAAGGGGTACTCATACAAATCTCTTGGAACAAATAAAATAAAAATAAATAGGAAACACCTCAAGGAATTTAATATAGGGCACCACTTGAGGTGCCTAATTATACCTATTACAACCACTAGTTGTAACTAGGGAAATAATTATAAAACATCAAAAATATATCTTTTTCAAATAAAACTCAAAATAGATCAGAGAAACAAATTAAACGTTTATTTTTGTCTCAAACAAACAGTCATCAAAAATACAATTACAAAAGAAACATACCATATAACATAATACAAAATAACAAAAACTTACATGTTCTTTGTTTACATAAAAGATTACTACAAAAATTTTGAAATGGTTCCTAGGTTATATATGGCCAATTTAGATTACCAAAATTTTATGGATATCCTTTTATGAAAATAATATAGAATTTAACCTTACATATGAAATATCTTTTATATATAATAATCAAATTGAAATTGTTATACAACAACAATGGATTACAGCAAATGTCATATGTTAACATAACATTTTAAATCAGCATAAAATATGACATTTCTTAGCTACGACAACATAATATAAAACTTTAATTATTACAAATTCTTTAATGTTTGATGAAAGCAATTATTAAAAATGTCTATATAACTTGGAAAAATTAATATATTAAGACGTTACCTCGATTCTCAAATAATTCACTTAACTTTGCAAAGGAAAAACTTGCTACATCTCTGGGCATATCCTCTAACAGGAACAAGGAACCATTTCCATACTCAGACAGGAACGATTGAAACAGGAACTTTGTGGAAGAATCGAGCTGACTACGGGGACATTCTATATAACACTTTTCAAAAATTTCCAGTATCTATACAAATCTAATGACTACTCTGACAGAACTGCTTATGCCAAGCAAAGAGTATTATCATTAACCGGTCTTAAGACATCACTAGTTTGAAACCTATTCGTCGACTTTCATCACAAAACGTCCACCCAGCTTCAAATCTTTTCTTGGACCCTTACATTGTAAAACGTCTGCACCGTTTCAAATATATTCTTGGACTCCTCATTTGCGTTAAATTTTACAAATTCGACGCAATAAAATAACTCTCCCCCTTGTGTTTACAAAACCTAAACAAACAATATTCCCCTTCTGACCTAAATTTTAAAACAGGCCTCAAATATGTTACAAAGCGACTTTCAAATAAACTACTTTTAAATATGAAGGAATTACACGTATTTTTGATTTGTCTAACCGGAATAAGTTCTACCTGACTTTGTAACAGAGATAAAAAAATATTTCCAGCGTTATTACGCATTTAAAAATCTCGTCAAAAAACTTGAAATATTTACAACATATATTTAACTTCTTCGTCAAAACATTAAAAAAACTTACTACATTACCGATCATTTTTCTTGGTATAAACAACAAAAACTTGGTATTACAAAAATCTAAAATATAAAACGCTACAAAATGTATCAAATTCTAAAACATCCATCGTCCCTAAATAAGAGAACTGACATAGATAACGAGCCAGATATATCACTCTCTCATCATACAAAACAAATAATAATTAAAAAAAAAGAACCCTTACAACACATCAACTTTATTCCCATTCCTCTTCCATATATTTTTTTGTTTGTTTTTTAAAGAAAAAGAAAAAATGAATCCGTTTTAAAAAGGTCTGTCCCCGTTCCACTCGCTAATGCCCTTAATAATCTAAGTCCTCCCTGCATTCCAAAGAAACACATGTATACGACAAAAAGCCACACATTAAATATATATATATATATATATATATATATATATATATATATATATATATATATATATATATATATTAATAAGATCCCCAAATTTTAAAAAAATTAAAAATTAAAAGACCATTAAAGAAAAATCGAGAACACCCTGTATATAGAAATAGTTTAGTTGTTAAATCATGTTTAGTTGTAAAATCATAAACAATTTATCGAGAACAACGTGAGTGGGTTCCGAATATGTAAATAAGTGAGCTATGAAGTTTTTCTCCAATAAAAAGACAATTTAATTAGGACATTTAAAAAAAATGTCAACGTCACTTTTGCTTTTTAAGAAAAATTAGATTGCTGGAAGTTTTTTGGGAGAATTTATCAGAATTATAAGAAGTAGTGGTTAGTGTTTGAGTAAAAAAATTAAGCAGCCATTGTGGTAAATAAAGACGATTTTAAACACAAACAGATGTAAGTACAAACAGATATATTTTCGTTGTGTCTGAGAGGAAGCAGTTTGTTTGTATTGGAGTTTGAAACTTGTGGTAACGATATCACGACATTTTCACATACTTTTGGCACAGTATAGTGCTTGTTGGTCTTATTTCTTTTATCATCAAAAGAAACAGTAGGCGAAATAGAAAGCAGAGAAATTGGTAGGATCCAGGAAGAAGTCAAGGAACAAATAATTATTTCTAAAATTTTTATATTAATAGTTTAGAAATATGTGTATTTAATTTTATTGAGCATTAAGGGATGTGTGATTTGATGGATGATTGATTATTTTTTTTTGTTGATCTTTTTTAAATAGAACTAGTAGAAGATACTTTGAAGCCACGTTTATAATAAAAAATAAATAAAATAAAAATTATTTTTTAGCCCTGAGATATTCTTTGCTTTTGATTTGTTGACAATTATAAGCTAATCGCAACAAAATGGCGCCATAACGTGAGGGCTGATAAAAAAGTATTACTAGTTACATTCGGAAAGAGATACAATTTGAAAAATAAAAACAACAGGTGGTTATAGTTTTTTTTTTGGTCAAGTGAATAATAATTTGGTACAATTTTATGACATTTAAAATTTTTATCAAAATTTACAATTTGTAACAGTTGATTTAATTTTTCTTTGATTGACGTTTGATAACATTTTGAAAATTTTTGACGAATATTTATATTTGGGTGAACGGAGGATTTACCGTATTTGCAACAAATCAAGGAAATTTAAATTTGGCATTTGGCGGGGATAATATTTCAAGAGATAAACAAATGGCTTCAACGAGAAGCAAAAGTAAAGAAAACAAAAAACAGGAAGAACATTTAGAACAAGAAGAACATTTAGAACAAGAAGACGTTTTGAAACAACAATTATGGAGAAAGAAAGTCAGGAATTATCAGGATTAGAGAAAATATTACAACTGATGCAAATACAATCACAAAAAATGGATAGAAATCAACAAGAAACCTTGGAATCACAACAACAAATAAATCAAACAATAATTAAAAATCAACAGGAAACAAAACAAGCCATAGAGGAGAACAAC